TAATCATAGCAGCAGCCATTTTTACCTCACAGTATAAGCGTAAAAAACGTTAATAAAGTAACAACAAATATCTATTAAATCTATAAAGTAACAAATACATATTAATTATTACTCAAATTATTATTTCAGTTGCTCTTAATGTATCAAGCGTCTATATGCACAGAAAAGCCAGAAACTATGGTTTTTATCATTAAATGGAAGACATAGCCTAAAGATGCTTTGTGGGCTTTACGGCATAACCAGGTTTCATTCTCCTGGGCTGTTGCCCCACCCTCCTATCGGCGGGCCTGTTTGTTTCACTGTTAACAAAACAAGGTTTCCTACAAGAGAAGACTCCTAACAGTAAATGGTTTTCTGTACTTAGACCCGCTAAAGGCTCTGTTCCCAGCTGTTTTGTAAGTGTGCATAATATCATGTATCAATTATGGAAAGTGAACGTAAAATAAGATAGTAAATCTTGTCATGTATACAACGTCACAGTACATAGAGTGATCATCTAAGTTCCAATATATCAAATAAAACTCTGAAGTATGCTAGGGTAATATGTTAAATCTTTCAACAGCGGCAGTTGGTTTGTAAATTCACCGTTTAAACTAAGAACGTTCTCATTACCTATTTCATTCAGTTGTTTAAAAACGTAATGACTTGAAATATTCTCGTGAGTTTTATTACGCAATGTACTTCTTAACCCAGTAAATGCAAATATTTAGAAAAAATGAAAGCACGTATGATCTAACTAGTAGAATGCTGACTAAATCAACTTAAATTAGATATACTTTCTAGCAAAAAATAAGTACCAGTAGTGCCCTCTGCCACACTTGAAATTAATGTGCAAATTCAGCTAATTAACAATGTTGATATTGTTTTAACGAAATAAAACTATACAAGTAACTTATTGTCATTAATTTTTTTCTATTATTGTGGAACTTAATGTTAAGTTTATTAATGTATTTGAAGTTGAAATAGTCTTTGATAAATGTTTACAGATCAAATCTTTATCCAATGTAACTAAGTAGCGAAACAACATAAAGTTAACTTAATACAGAATAAACAGGTGGAAAATTATAGGAATGTACAAAGCCAATCTAAACCGTGAACAGAAAAGGTTAGTCGATGTCACAAAAAGTTTCCGTTTAATGTTGAAACAAAAAGTTGACATCTTCGCTCGTGTGAAATATACGGTTTAAATTAAGGCGGTAAATTACAAAAAAAACTTCCACTACGTTTAGCCATACCAGTCAACTATATAACAGAAATATTAAATGTTAATATACAAATCGTGACATTAAAATAGATGGGGTGACACAACAGAAACAACAACATTTGTCTATGCCAATATTCAAACTAAGCCTAAGGGAATGTAGGTGTTAGCGGTGAGTAATCACCAAACGAATGAACTACATTCAAATATTCCCGAATCAATTATGCGGAAGTGCCAAATGTATGATCGTGTATTTATAGAAAGAAAGCTTCCTGAATACAGGTGTGTCGCGATTTATCGAAGATCGTGAATACATTCAACTTCCTGAGTAAAAACTGTAACACCATGAACTCAGCCGTCGTTGGAACTATTGAAAACATACACTAGCTTCAATAATTCGAATGTTTTTTATAAACATTGTTACGGCACGTGGAACGTGTATGAGCTAAACCAAAGTGTAAAATGTTTTCAAACGTGTTTAAATGTGGTGGAGTATATGGAACTGACGAAAATCACAATAAAAACAGTTTAGAAATGTATTAGCAATGTTCATTGTCATATACACATCCAGTTGTCATCAACATTGTTATATGTTCTCGGGTAGAAAAGTGGCAAGTTTATAGACTTACAACGCTAAAATCTAGGGTTCGGTTCCCCACCGTGGACACAGTAGATAGCTCAATGTAACTTTGCTCTAAAAATAAAGTTTTTTTACATATATACATCCAGTTATCATAAATATTGTTATGTATAGAAATAATTATTACTAATATTCATCGTTAATATATGCATCAAATTGTCTTAAAAATTACTCTTCGAATTATTGGCATTTCTATATTCATGAAATAATAGGCGTAAGCAACAAAATATTATTGAGAAGTAGAAGTATCCTGTATGTGGTATTTATTTTTGATTGAAACATTTTATCACGAAAAGAAAAAGGTTATTCACAATAATGCAAAACGTTTGATTTTTGAAATCTTGCAAATTGTTTACCTCTCCTCAAACAAAGTATTACGTTTACTGTAAATCAAAATATAAAATAAATTGTTATATACTAAAATAGAGAAGAAGAAATAACAGTAAAAGTAAACAGTACTTCAACGAAAAATATAATAAAGCAAAAAAGTGAGTGTAAAATATACTAAACAGGAAAACACACAAATAACATAAAATTAATATTGGGTTTACAATTGGCGTGTTAAAATCTGAAGTAGGCTTAGACAGTTTCACTATAAATTCAGACTAATTCCACAAACAGTGTTACTTAGTTATATACTAGATCTACAATAAATTTATTTTGAAATTGAACTGCGATTAAGTTTGAAAAATATCTGTTAAATTTTTAATCTTTTAAAAATATATTTTAGAAAAAAAAACTTTGGAAAGACAGCCAGTACTTTATGTGACAAATATATTAGTATTGACTAAGCCTACTTTACTCCAATCATTAAACTAGCTTATCATGATCAGGGCCAACTAAATGTATTGAATGAAAAACCGGACAATAGACTTGTCATCTGCGGGTCAATGGACTGTTTTTGACGAAGCTTAATAGAACTAGAACAAGTCACTATTCATTGTTCAGTAAATAACCGGAAAATGTCCTGTCGAGGATGGTTTCCGACCGGAAATACGTCTCTACTGGATCTATTGGTAAATCACGGATTAAACACCTAATAATAATATCATTTACATTCTGAACACTTTAATGCACATCCTGGTGGCGAGAGAGGGAACTACAGAAATGTACGTTTGGTAGTATATACTAAACAGAAGAGTGACGTAAGTTACCACTTGTTCTTTCACCGTTAAACTTGAAAGTACAACTGTCTATACTTCTACACCACTATGTTCCCCAAAGTCCTGGCGCTTGTTTCTTTGTTCACAGGTTGCCTACAACAACCGTCTGGGCCAAATTTTGACGCCGTGTCTGGATTTGGAGATCCTAGAATCTTCAATCTCGTTGTCTGTGGTTTGTATATTACGTAACAAGTTTCAGTACATTTTTCGTAAGTTATTTCACAAGTGGTTATAAATACTAATTTTCAATCATCTTTCCAAACTCACTACATCCTTTTTCGTTTATTGTATTGAATCACAAAAGGATAAAAACACTCACGATAGATGTTCAGTACGTCTAAGTCGGTGATAACTTAGTTATTTATCTCCAATAAAAACGTGACATTTTTCATTTCTTATCGAAACTTTGACAAATTTTACTCCTATTGATTAAAATATAAGTTTTTACTACCTATGGTATTTACTAACAAATATTGATAATTTTGTTTATGTTTAAGTAAAGAATGTAACAGTTCTAACTTCAATAAATGATATCCAAAGTGGCAGAAAGTTGAGGGAAGTGACAATTTTCAACCACTTTACGTGCGTTTTGTCCTTAAGTAAATAAAGTGATTTACAGATATATTATCCTGCGCTTAGAGAAGTTTTAGATCCAGTATCCTGCGCTTAGATGAGTTTTAGATCCAGTATCCTGCGCTTAGAGAAGTTTTAGATCCAGTATCCTGCGCTTAGAGGAGTTTTAGATCCATTATCCCACACTGAGAGGAGTTTTGGATCCAGTATCTTTTTAAGTTCTAGTAAACTGCACTGAGAAGATTTTATGTATCTAACAGTCATTTGGCTCTTCAACTGAACTTTGCTTTGATTGGATAAGGTCAGGATTTATGTTTAGACTAGTATTTGCTTAGTTAGACGAGCTCAGGACTGCCGTTTCGACAATTATCTGTTTGGTATGACAACCTCATGATCGACACTTTCACAAGTATCAATTTATTAGGAAGGACTCAGTAAGTATCCATTAGATGTGTGGACTTAAGCTCAACATTTTGGCAACTATCCGCTAGCCAGCATAGCTGGTCTTTGGAATAACATCCTAAGGCAGGTCCTTCGTTGAAAATTAACAGTGAACCAAATGTTCACAAAACGTAGCCCTCACTTCTCTTCAAGCAGTGCTTGGGACTACTAGTAACCATAACTTTGTTGTAACAGTTTTCAGCAGTGCTTGAGACTGCTAGCAACCATAACTTTGTTGTAATAGTTTTCAGCAGTGCTTGAGACTGCTAGTAACCATAACTTTGTTGTAACAGTTTTCAGCAGTGCTTGAGACTACTAGTAACCATAACTTTGTTGTAATAGTTTTCAGCAGTTCCTGAGACTGCTAGTAACCATAACTTTGTTGTAATAGTTTTCAGCAGTGCCTGAGACTACCATTTACTTAGTTTATGCTTGAATCTCCTGCATAAGTCTTCTATTTTTCCTCTAAGTTAGCCTCTTTAAAAATCGTTCCAGATTCAAGTCTAGCAGATGAAGTCCGAGTGTCAAGAAACCAGTGTTTTCAGAACACAAAGCCAGAAGTTGTAAGTAAATACGTGTTTTATAACTTCATTGCCTGGTGAGTATGACATATCGTTAATTGGATTGTTATACTGTTTTTAAGTAGCTCTGTGTTTCCTCATTACTTAATGTTTTAGCGTGTGAGTCTTTTGTTTAGGTAGTCTATTCTGTCACATATACTGTATAATATTTTTGAGTTGGTGAGAATAATACTCTTTAGGGACATTTTATTTGGGGAGGCTGATTGTTTGTTCAAGGGAGGTTGCCCCTCGAGCAGTCAGAGATGAGCTATCTCTCTTCACCTTCCCAAACCTCTTATACGCACCGCCCCTGATTACGGCTTAACTTAACTAATAGGGTTACGCATTTTAATTTCAACCCACTTTATAAATTAATCTATACTATTATTCTGCTTGTTTGTATATACGACCGTTACGTTTTTTGGCCGAGAACCTGCTGCATAAGCATGCGTAGTTGGAATGTTTCTCCAAATCGGATCTTCCCAATTGCTTAACTTAACTAATAGGGTTACGCATTTTAATTTCAACCCACTTTATAAATTAATCTATACTATTATTCTGCTTGTTTGTATATACGACCGTTACGTTTTTTGGCCGAGAACCTGCTGCATAAGCATGCGTAGTTGGAATGTTTCTCCAAATCGGATCTTCCCAATTGCCGCTACTGGTGGCAATTAAACAAAATGGTGGCATCGATACTATTTTCAATCAGAATGTCTAGACGAGGATGGGTGACTTAAATTGGGTAGGATCACATAGGTTTAACACTTGTGACTTTAAAACGTATGATGAGGAAGTTTCTTTAAAGAAATACGAACATTAAAATCGAGGAACACCAGAGAAAATCCCGAATGTGAGTGTTACGAAATCTTATTTAGAAATCCCGTTATTATTGAGAGCAATCACTAATTATTTCAATATCTGTTTTTTAAGGTCCGCAAGGCTGAAGTCGTGTGCCGAGAAAAGACCTATCCAAATGTAACTGACATAGAGTTTTTAGAATCCATTTGTAGTGACAATGGCACTTTGACAAAGATGGTAAGTTACTTGAAGTATGAATCAAATTATCTTTATCTAATGCTAGCTTCTTGGGGCTCTTACTTTACATTGAATGTTTTGATTTAATGCTTAGACTTATTTAATGCTAATTCGACATACAGCTGAACCTCTGTATCCCTGATTTAATTGAGATATATTAATATTTTTATTACAGTAGTACAGTAGGATGATAGTATAACTTCTTGTTTACAAAACATTTTCAGAGCTTTGTGTTTAAGTTGAAATTCCTTATAGAATTCTATGTTAAGGATGAATACTTAGGAGGGTATGTTTTAAGGGTGAATATTTAGGAGGGTATGTTCAGTTGCGAACCGGCTGAATCCCACCCCGGTTCGTGCGAACC